GGATATTGATTGCAAGGACTTCAATTAAACAGTTTCCATCAGGTCAACCGTCAGTCTCAGTGACTTGATGACATGTCTCATTGACAGCCCGGTCAACAGTCAATAGGTCTTAGATTTCGCCCACAAAATACACGATCAATCCACTTTACAATATATCCTGTGAAGAGCTTTGAGACATCTCAACGACGTGATAAGGTGCTGTATCAAATGGAAGGATTATTATTATTATTTACCGGGGCTTTCTGGCTGACTTCGGCCTTGGAGAGGCTCCGTTTAATTCTCGTACACGGAAACCAACCCCCCCCCCCCACCCACCCCCCGCCCCATCGTCCTTAAAGGGTCTCCTGGAGCCAAACTGATGATAGCCTCACAAAATGTGCGGTCTCCGTTTGTCTGCTGTGAACCCTGCTTTCTTAATCCCAGAGCGTTTAGCACGACGCTGTTATCTAATAGCAAAGTTCAACTGGTTTGATACCTGAACCTTTTCTGGAGGAGTGCGAGCAGTGCAATAAAAATAATCCGTGCATTTGACACAGCGCCTTGTCACGTCTTCGAGACGCCTCAAAGCGCTTCACAGGAATATACTATAAAGTGAATTGATCGTATGTTTTGTGGGCGAAACGCGGCAGCGTCCCCCACAAACACTCGTGGGTTGAACTGACCGATTTATTATTGTTATTAGTTTTTTTGAAGGAATTGTTGGGCCCGGAAAAGTGATCCCCCAATCAACTAACAACCGGGTTCCTAGTTACTGCCGGGTAAACAGAGGCGGAGTAAGGAAACTTGCCCAATGTTTCGCCCTGCCCGGGAATCGAACCCAGGTCTCTCGCTTGCGAGGCGAGTGCTCTAACCCCTGAGCTACAGGACTCTGAGAGTCACCAGCCTGCTCATTTTCTCTCCGAGCCCCAACACACAATAGCGCTGTAACCCGAGTCCTCTCCTGTGTAACTTCAGCTACTGATTTGGAATAGCTTTACAGACTCATTGCTATATCTCTGTCCGCAAATGGTGATCAAATACCCGTTGCAATGAAATGCAATGCCCTTCTTCAGTGACAAAACGCAGACCCCACGGAGTCTGCCAATTGTAGCATGAAATAGTTTCTTAAAACAAGTCGCAAGATCTGTTTGGACGGAGAAGGCCCTCCACGCGTTCGATCTCACCCCTTCCAGAACACCCTGTCTACCATCCTCCCATTACAACGTCAGATGAGACGTTGAACTCTGAGGCCCCCGTCTGCCTGTTCAGGTGGACGTTAAACGTTTCTCTCTCCCGGTGTCCAGGCTTCCGAGTTTTGCTCACAAAATATACCTCAGTAAGTCAAAACCGCTTTACAGTGTATCCTGCGAAGTGCTTTGAGACGTCTCGACGACATGATGCTAATAATAAAACTAATAATCCTCGCATTTGATACAGTGCCTTATCACGTCTTCGAGACGTCTCAAAGCGCTTCGCAAGTGAATTGAATTGACTGTACATTTTGCGGGCGAAACCCGGCATAAGGCGCTCTATCAAATGCAAGGATTATTATTATTATTATTATCAAACATTCATCCATCTCAGTTTCTGCAGCGACGATATTTCAGAGAGGCTCTTCCAATTCAACGCACGCTCATCATCCCGAGCTGTTGCTTTCCTCCTCGTGTCTTATTATAAATATGTCAGAACTCAGCAGGCAAATTTAGAAGTGGTTCCATAAAACCGAATGGTTGCGATTCAGCTCCTTTGATGCGTTGCTAGAGTCGGGGGGCGAATTGCGCAGCACAAGGAACAGCGCTAAGCATTCTCACTCAGAATCACTTTGTACAAAGCTTATTAACTGGATTTAATAGACACCATGCGATGCACCGCCGACTGAGAGGGTTTCAGTCCACGATCCAACACAGTCGAAATAATATAATTCAAAGCAAAACAGTTTGTGAGATGGTTTCTGTTCCCAGAGAATTGATTGCAAAATCCTCACCCTCAGCTATAAATACTCTCGCATTATAGGACCTCTTTATCTCTCTCGTCCCCTCCCAGGTTACCTCTTCTGCTTGCTGCCTCCTCCCCATGTCGGGACTTAGAATCACATAGTCAAACTTCACTCCAGTTCAGCGCTGGGGGGGGTGGGGGGCGGGTGCGTCGTATCGTCAGAGGTGCCGTTCTTCGGAGGAGACGTTAAACCTCACTCCTCGTCTGCGTGTACAGGTGGACGTTAAAGATCCTGTGGCGCTATTCGAAAAGAAAAGTAGGTTTCTCTCTCTCTCTCTCTCTCCTGGTGTCCTGGTCAACAATCCCCCAAATAAAATTGGGTCACCGGTTTGTGGGACATTGCTGTGCGCAAACTGGCTGCTGACGTTCGCCCACAAGATGCACAGTCACTCCACTTCACCTTTCTTTTCGACCGGGCCTTTGGTCACCTTCCCCCCACCTCACCCCCCCCCGCCCCCCCCCGGCTCGGCCCCGGGATCCGTTAACGTGAAGCGCTCTGAGACGCCTTCCGGCGTGGAGGGCGCTATATAAATCCAAGTTGTTGTTGTTCACAGAATATCCTGTAAATCGCTTTGACGATGCGATAAGGCGCTGGATCAAATGCAAAGATTATTATTATTATTATTATTGTTCTTTTTTACTCTCGCTGGCCTGAGCTTTCAGATTCCACCCCCCCTAACCCTCTGGAACTCCCCCTCTCTCTCTCTCTACCCCTCCGTCTCGTGCCCTATCTCTCTGCCTATCTTCAAGTCCTGCCTTACAATAAACTGGCACATTAATAATCCTTTCCCAAGCAACGCAACACGTCTTTTCAATCCCTGCAGTGCCAAAGGAGGCCTTTGTGTTCACAGTAGCTGAACCTAACAGCGAAGAAACAGGAACATTTTAGACAGAAGCGCATTAGAGTTTCATATTCAGATGTCTTCCTCTAGATTAAGCAGAGAGCTTTTTTTTTTCGCGCATGGATCAACGCTTAATAGCATTTCAGCCGTTCAGCCGTTCATTGTTTGTCAATCTTTTCCCAGCAACTGGGTAATCAGAAAAGATCGCTTGCCTCCAGAGTAAATGTGGCTTAAAATTGGAAGTCGAGTGCATGTAATTCCCTTGGCTTAAAGCGTTCAGCCAGGATTTCCTGTCTGCCACTAAATCGACTGATTCAGACCTTTCTCGGGCTGATCTCTCACCTTGGAGCCACTCAAATCATCTGTAAGATGTTTCTAATTTTAATTTCTCAGGACCTGAGTGTGGGTGCTATTTGTCCGTAGTGAAGTAGCGGAAATGACCGTGCTGAAACACAAGCTAGAAAGGCACCCTTACTATACTTCGGTGAACAGAGAACTGAGCCAGGAGGAGACCAGAGAGAGATTTGCCCGCATCCACCAATCTTGACAACCACCGTTTGGTAGTCTACCACCGACTACCAGGTTTGCCAGTATTGTCAAGCTCTTTGTGATGTCCTCCCGATGTGAATGGTGCTATATCAATGTAAAATTTGTATTGTCCTCTTGACTTGAAAGGCGCTATATAAATGTAACTTCTTGTATATTTGTTGTTGTATTTATATTGTACATAAACTGGATGCATAACCCTACGTCTTACATGTCCAGGTTTAGTTTAGGGATGGTTCTTTCCCAATCCTATGAGCTCCCATCTAAAGGCTTCTCTTGTTTTTCTCTCTCTGCTCCATCCCCTCGCTGTCCCACTTGAAGGCCCTCCAGTCTCACTCGGAGAATAACAAGACAACAAGACAAGTCTTTGCCGAATCCTGCTCTAAAACTGGTCAGCCACAGCCACTTGTGCGAGGCTGGGCTTGAGTTGACTTCTCCAGTGTTCCCGAACGGGTTGGGAGGTCTACGCCAACTCCCCAGGCAGCAAGTCCTTGACTGATTACAACAGCAAGTGCTCTGCCCCTATGGAGATTAGCACACCAACGAGCATTGCAATGTCCACCTCAATGAAGCCCATTCCCACCTCTGCGTTAGCAAAGGTGAGTTATTCTAAGTTGCATCTATACTCCTGAATCATGACAAACCGTAACCCTTTCAGGTGCAGGTAGCCAAAGCACAGTCCAATCCTATAAATAAAGCATTGATTACTTTCTCAGTTTGTGGCACCTGTTAACCCCTTCAAAGTCCATCAGTCCATCTTGGCTTACCAATAGCCACATGGTGCATTCTTTGACGTATAAAATTGGACGGAACGAGTTACGGAACGATTCTCTGGAGTAACAAGAATGCCTTGCTGTGACTTGTCGCTTGATGAAGATATAATGGTGGTTTGTTGTGTGTCCTGTTTAAGCCAATTTATAGGCGACTGACAATCCCCAGAAGATCGCATGACTCTTTGTCAGGCTCAAGGTGTGATTGTTCTAAGCAATTAAGAATCCAGTCCAAGCCTTCAGTGCTCCATCATATCTAGTCCAACACTGGACCCTTTCTCTCTCAACGTATGATGTTCCTCAGCTGTGTCTCCACGGCGACGAGCCATTAGCTCTTGCATCGAGCTGAAGCCAGCGACGGTGGAGTTCAGGAAAGCCCGACCGGAGTTTGGAGAACCGAAGAGAGGATGAGTGGGGTTGGGAATCATTGACAAGGACTGAGCACTGTTCAGCGAGGCAGCACCTTCGGGCTGGTTGTGTCTGGAGTTGATCGAGATGAACGCCTTGGGGGACGGAGAAGACGGTGGGACAGGCTGCTTGGAGGTTGAGGCCGACGACGGAGACTGCTGCTCCGGAGAAGCGCTGAGAGAGGGACAGGAGCTCAGAGCCTCCGAGACGGTAAGGTTCGGGGGCGTTGACATTGACCGAGGTTGCCCAGGGTTGTGATGGGTACCGACGGAGACACTGTTCGGAGCCAACGAGGCTGATTGGCCAGCAGCGGGAACGCCCATCCCAGGTTGGTTAGAACCCGGATCTGGGTGATGCATCGGACTATTCCTCTGATCCCCCAGAGATATTTGATAATGGAAGGACGTCATGGGCTTGGGAACTGAGTGGAAGCAGTCTATCATGGGGTGGTAGAGCTCCATCAATTGGCGTGGGACCCCCCCCTGCACCGAGCTCCCGGGACAGCAGGAGGAGTGCCGAAATTCCAGGAGCTGGGGGTTCGGGTACTTTGGCCGAGCTGGGGTCCGGGCATCGACCCGGTCTGTAGCTGCAGCGTGGGTGGCTGTAACGTGTAGGAGACACTCGACGGCCATTGATTCCCACCCTCGTTCACACGGGGAGCTGGAGAGGAGAGTAGGGGAACAGGGTAGGGGGGGTAAGGGCCATTCCGACTGCTCTGCTGGGCACTCAGTTGGTGCTGTAGCAACTGCATCATGTTGTGGACTTCCCGGGCAAGGTGCGATACCTCTTGGTTCAGGTTATTCATCTGCCAACAGAAATACACAGTCAATGCACTTTACGCTATTTTCCGTGAAGCGCTTTGAGACGTCTCGAAGACGTGATAAGGCGCTGTATCAAATGCGAGGATTGTCAATATTATTATTACTATTAATAATAATAAAAGCGTCGTTCCTTTATTTATCTCCGCAGGGAATCTCCGGATGAGCACTCCGGGGTGTTACCCCACGTGAAGGGCTCTACGTAAATGCAAGTTGTTACTGAACGGGATGGAGTTTTGCCCCCAACTCTCCTGTCCAGGAGCACGAGAGGCGCAGTGTAGAGAGGCACAGTGAGTTCAGCTGCTGTCACTGAGGACTGAGATACTTCACCTCCTGATTGAGTCTGCTGATGTTCTGTCTGATTTCTGCTTCTTCAGCTGCACCTGCCTGGTTCACTCGAGTCGCACCTGGTCACAGAAGAGCACCTCATTAGAAAGAGAGCGAGTGTGAGAGAGAGTGAGAAAAGGGAGGAGTGAAAGGCAGGAGAATGGATCGAGAGAGAGAGACAACGAAAACGGAAGAGTGACGTGAGTGAGTAAGTGAGGGGACCGACCAACCAACCAACGAAGAAAAGAAAAGATGGTGGCTTTGTTGCTTAAGTTCATTCAAGTTTTTAAGAACTGTAAAACCCTTAATTAATGCCCCCCACGTTGTCGAGCACAAGTCAATGTGGATATTAAAGGTGTCGTTGAGCTCCAGGACTCTATCCCTGCGTGAGAAACGCTAAATAGATGCGAGTTGCTGTTGCTCTGCTGGGGAAACAGAGGCCTGTGGAGTAAGGAAACTTGCACGACGTTTCGCCCTGCCTGCCCGGGAATGGAACCCAAGTCCTCTCGCTTGCGAGGCGAGTGCTCTAACCACCGAGCTACAGGACTCCACAATAAGAACACAAGAATTAGGAGCAGGAGTAGGCCATTCGGCCCCTCAAGCCTGTGCCCCGCCATTCGATAAGATCACAGCTGATCTTCAGACCCAACTCGGATTACCCGCCCTATCCCCATATGACCCAATCCCTGTTTTTTAAACATCTATCAGTCTCAGCCTTGAAGATGTTCAAGGACTGACATCTACAGCCTTCTGGGGGAGTGAATCCCATAAATTCACTGCCCTCTGAGTGAAGAAATGTTTCCTCAACTCTGTTCTAAAAGGCTGACCCTTAATTTTCAGACTGTGACTCCTGGTTATAGATTCTCCCACCGGCGAAACAGTCCCTCAGTGTCTACTTTATCCGCCCTTTAAGAATCTTATACGTTTCAATAAGATCTCCACTAATTCTTCTCTAGAGAATACAATGTTTAAGACAGGAGGTGAACTATTGTCCCCCAGTACATCATCCACGTAATGCAAACTGGAAAAGAAATGAACAATTTTATAAATATAAAATATACAGTCAATTCATTTTGCAGTGTATCCCGTGAAGCGCTTTGAGACGTCTCGAAGACGTGATCAGACGCTGTATCAAATGCGAGGATTATTATCATTATTATTATTATTTCAAGCCCGAAGCTCACGGTCTCGGCTCACACAGCGAGAGAATTCAATAAAGCAGTTGCCATAAATGTTTGCTATTTATTGCCACAGCTCCAACACGCCATAGCAACCGGGTTGCTAAGCCAATAAGCCGCAAATACTGATTTATAGGTCGCCATGGAAATGGAAATTAATGCCATGGGTTCCCTGTGGGTTGTCAGTCCGACCAGAGTGTTTCTCAAAGTTTCCCACCAGAAGTCTCCCCTCAAGATCCCGATTCCGATCTCCTTCCCCACCACCTCCCTCCCTCAACCCCCTCCGCCCTCTCCCTCTCCCTCCTCATCCCCATCCACCCCAGTCCAATGTTCGCGAGATGAATCACCTTCTCCCGCACGGGTTTGAGGTATCTGGTTCAGGCCGAACTGGAACGAGGACATCTCCGACAGCCTCCCATCATCTTCGATCCCGTCCACAACCCTGCGAAGAGTTTGAGGGAATCGCGATGAGATTCTGTCGTGAATGACACGCGCTCGGTCGCTTGGGGACGGTTTGGAGTAGGATTCCTTTCCAATCGCAAGATCGGTTCTTCCTCTGTCCCTCCGCCTTGCACCCCCCTCCCCCTCCCCCATCTTCAGGTTGTGACTGAAGACCTCCCTGCCTCTTCGGCCAGCGCCTACGGTCACCTCTCCCAACCTCTCCCGTCTCAGCGTCGTGCCAAGCGCTCCGGGACGCAACCGAGCGGGGCGCTGCGCAAACGCAAGTCGTTGTCATCGTGACACCTCGCTGCGGGCTGGTACCTGGGGCTGAGGTTAGGAGGGCCGCAGCAGGACAGAGTTGGCAGGTGAAGTTTCGTCGGCTTTCTCGCGACCCCGTTAGCGCTGCAAGCCTGGCCCTCTGCCTTCCTGGGTTGCAGAGAGGGACTTCTGGCTCTGCCACACCGGCCGGGCGATAGGGTGGCCAACCTCAGGGTGGGGAAGCGCCTGAGGTCGTCTCCCAGCAAGCTGCCCAGCGACCCTCTCCGCACCGGGCTGTTCAAGCCGGGCAGGATCAGCCTCCTGGCCGCTGGGGAAAGATGGGGGTAATCCTCGGGCTCTTCTTCATTCTCCACAATAGACGGGAGTTTCCCGACACAATTCTCGGTGCGCTCAGGATGATGCTAGAACGACAGCACAATAAGACCTTGTTCATTTGTTCGTTCGTTCGTTCGTTCATTCATTCATTCATTCAGTCGCTATAATAATAATACTAATAATCCTTGCGTTTGATACAGCGCCTCATCACGTCTTCGAGACGTCTCCAAGCGCTTCGCGGGATACTCTGTCAAGTGAACTGACTGTATTTTGTGGGCGAAAACATTTTGGGTCTCATGGTCCGAAATTGGCTGCCACGTTCGTCTGCAAGCACAGCACACAGTCACCGCACTTCACGGCGTGTCCCTTCCGGGACGCCGAGGGTTTTGAGACCTCCTCCGGGCGCTGAGTGGTCCTGTTTCAAACGCGAGGGTTGTTATGACGGTATCGCGGTGAAGTGTTTTCGCACCGCAATTCGAATTAGAATTGTACAGCAACCAGACTCGCGCCCCCACGCTTAACAGACACATTTTACGCGGTAAAGAAAGTTCCTCGCTTTTGCCGTGCTTGAGGTTCAGAGTGTTGCTTCTTCGAACGATCAAACCCACCCACACCCACACCCCCCCACCCCCCACCCTCCTCCACACCGCCAAACCCCCACCCCCCCCCCCCGCTACCTCAACCCGAGTGGACAAACACCCCACAAAACCGAAGGTGGGAGTCAACACGATACCGTACCTGGGCCAGTCGTGGGGATCTGGAAAACCTGGAGATTCCCTGCGGAGATAATAAAGGAATGACGCTTTTGATAAGAAAATAACAATCCTTGCTTTCGATCCGGCGCCTCATCACGTCTCCGAGACGTCTCAAAGCGCTTCGCGGAAGAGGCTGTTAGGTGAATTGACCGTGTAATTTTTTGTCGAGGGCGAAACGCGGCAGCCAATCGCGCACGGCAGCGGTCCCACGAACAGTCGATGGGGTTGATTGACTGCATTACTATCGCTGTTGTTACGATTATTATGATTATCATTGAGGTTATTATTATCCCACGGAAAGCGTTTTTATCTTTTACTTCTCCTCCCACCCCTCTCCATTTTTTTCCCCCCCCTTCCCCATTCTCTCTCTCCACTCTTTCACCCCCTCTCCTCTCCTCTCAGCCCTCACCTCTCCTCCATCTCCCTCCCCACCCCACTCCACTCCCTCCCTCGGGCTCTCGGATGAGCACAAGCGATTTTAATCCCCGCTGAGGAAGGTTTGCAAAACAACCCATTTCAGACAGAAAGCGTAGCGCTGCAGCTTTCGAGCGAAATCCGCAAGAGACAGAACTCTAATGACCATGTTTTCTCAGCTTAATCCAGCGTGTCGGATGAAGGAGCTTTAACAAAACAAGCAACGATCTCTCGCGTCTTCGGAACTTGCTGCCTGTGTGATTTATAACGGCTGGGTAGATTTTTTCCCCCCCCCCTCTCCTTTCCAGTGACGGAAACGAGGGTTGATCTTGTTTATTGATTTGATGCGCGAACGGGGACACGGGTGAGGCGTTAAACCGAGCTCCCATCTGTGCCCCAGCCCCATCCCCGCCGTTTAGGTGGATGTCAAAGACCTCCCGGTGAATGGCATTATACCTGCCTCGCCGGCTTACAAAACCCACAGTCGCTACACTTCAACGAAGGCAGAGGAACGCAGGAAACAGGAGGAGGCCATTCAGCCCCTCGAGCCTGTTCTGCCATTCTAGTGGATGACGGCTGATCTGGGCCTCATCTGGATCTCAATATCCCAATCTGGGATTCAGCAGTCAAAGGAAATGATCATAACAATAATAATAATAATGACGATATACTGTATATTTTGTGGGCGAAACGAAAGGTGCTGTTTCTCTCAGGTGCGGACTCACCTCTGCCTCGTGACCCTCTTGGAGATTGAAGGTCAGGTCGAGATGGATGTCAGCCAGGAATTTGTTGGAATACTCAGGATAGAGCCCCAGCACCTCGTACAGACCTCTCAGCCCAATGTACTGCAGATCACAATAGGTCAACGCCTTGACGTCAGCATTGGTTTTAATCACCTGGTCCTTGGCTGAGAGGTCAGCACCGATCAGATCCCCTTTACCTGGAAACACAAGCAGAAGGGTTGCAAGATGTCTCAGTCAACAGCAGCAGCAACATCTCCCTCCGACTTCCAAAGGTTGTAGGTTCAAGTTCCTGCTGCCCCTCCCACCCCCTCGCCCATCTCCCACCCACCCATCCACCATTCCCCATATCAGGAGCTTTGAGCTCCCTCATAGAATCTCACAAGCGCAGAAGGAGGCCATTCGGCCCATCGTGCCTCTGCACCGGCTCTTTGAAAGAGCTACCAACTAATCCCACTCCCCAACACCCCGCCCAACCCCCCCATAGCCCTGCACTTTATTTTTTTCTGTTTAAGCACCTCTCCGATTCCCTTTTGAAAGGGTTTCGAGTCTAAGCTGACATCTCAGTACAATGTTGGGGGGTGTTGGAAGGAAGTGTTGGAAGGAAAGCCGCTGTGTTATCAGAGAGGCTTCCCTTTGGATGAGACGTTAACCCAAACACTTTTGTTTGGCATTATCCTGCCCGTTAACAAGGAAAAAGCATAGAGAAACTATGTTAACTATCCACAGAAGGAAGCCATTCGGCATAGACACGATGGGCCGAATGTCCTCCTTCTGCGCTGGGTAATTCGATGAACTTTTACGCGTACTGTATAGAAGTACCGTATGAATGCATAAGAAGCCAAGTGTGACAAAGCTCCTCACCGATGATTGCCAGCACCATATTGTCTTTGAGGACCTCCATCGAACCGGAACATACAAAGTAGTTAGCCTGGAGAGCGTCACCCTGTCTGATCAGGTATTCTCCCGGAGCACAGAAGGAGGTCTTGATGTGGAGAGACAAGGACCTCAGGATGCCACGACTGGCCGAGGCAAAGAGAGGCAAGCGGAGGATCTCCTTGTTCAGGTGCATGGCAACATCCGCCCGCAACTCATCTGGGAAGTCACGCAAAAGCTGCACAAAAGAGACATCAGGGTTTCTTGTTACAGACCGACTTACGTTCACAACCCATCACGAGGTCACGAGACAGAGAGACAGAGACAGAGACAGAGAGGTTCGGATGAACAAGGCTCTTTGGTAAGGTGACCGTATACTGGGGTAACTTCAGAACAAACCCAAGGAGAGGTTATTTCAGTGAGTGAATAGTCAACCTGTGGGACAGGCTCCCGCGGGAGACGGTTGAAGCAGGAAATGCTGAATCCTTCAAACACGGATTGGATTAGTTTTCTTTCAGGAAATAACATGGTGGGATACAGTGCATAGGGAGTTCAGGACATATGAATGCGACCACCTGCAAGGTGGAAGGCAAGCTAGGTGGACCTTGGTCATTTTATGTTCTTGTATTGGCTGCCACCTTTCGCCCACAAAATATACAGTCACTCCACTTTACGGTATATTGCGTGAAGCGCTTTGAGACGTCCCAACGAGTTGATAAGGTGCTATATCAAGGTACTTATTATTATATTGTGATATGATTGGTGTTTCTAAGGTGTGCCTTAAAATCAGAAGCAATACAGTTAGTTAGGTCAGTGCACATCAGCACCTTGGGACGTCCTCCCGACGTGAAAGGCGCGATACAAATATAACTTGTGGCTTTTAGCATCAAAACTGCAATAAACACGAGGATTCCTCGGTGACAATTCGGAGACTAGATCGAGCATTCCCAAACTCCTGGGATTTATGGATCGCCGCGAATTAACTGCAGATCTATGTATTCCACCCGCTGACGATCATTTGCCTCCCTGCCACTTGTGCTTAAATTCCCAGCTAAAACAATTATTGCTTCTTATCATGCGGATAGCACCAAAGGCTAAGGTAAGAGCACACAGGGATACAGTGGGATATTCTACCTCGTTGGTATCGATCCCATTATTCACTGACCACGTCGTTTGGAAATATTCGAGCATTCGCTGCTTAAGCTGCTGCGGCAGATGGTGGACCCGAATGAAGTCCTTCAGGTCCTTCATTCGAGTGTGGTAGAGCGAGCGCCTCAAGTACATTCGCTGGATGATGGCGGTCACGTTCCCAAAAACCACAGCGTGCATCAGAGCTGCGGAGACAAACAACAACGCTGTATCAAGTGCAAGGTTTATTATTATTATTATCCCTGAGCAAACCAAGCTACTGAGAATAGCACACGTGCGCTTTACACGACGCCTTTAACGCCGGGAGCAACGTCTCAAAGCGCAAAGACCGACCAATCCGTTAGTTAAACGGTGGCAAGAGTTATACGAGGAGATCTCCCTGTTTGCTGAACCCTCGGTATTTTTCTTGCGCTGCAAACAAAAAAAATAACCCAAGCGGAACCCAAACCCATCAGATTTTCTACTTTGTCGGACACACGACAAGCCGGCGATTATGTATTCGGCTCCTGTGCTTTGCTGACCTCCATCTCGCTGACATTATCAACCGCTCTGATCACAAAGAGTAATTGCAATGTTGGCAACAGATCTAAGGACCCCTTTGTTTACTCTCCAGGAGAAGATAAAAAGGCTGTAAATTATAAATGCGGATTTCTTGAATTATGTATAAACAATCAAGGTGTTTGCATCTCAATGGGGGCGGGAAACCGGCTCCTGGTACAATCTCCCTCTCGACACGCCACCTCAAATGTGGTCACAGTCTTATCTTAGCTCAGCAACACTGTAATAATCATCCTTACCTTTGATTACAGCCCCTCATCACGCATTCGAGACGTCTCAAAGCGCTTCCCAGGACATATCGTAGAGTGAATTGACTGTATATTTTGCGGGCGGATCGCGGCAGCCAATTGCGCACAGCAGCGTCCCCCACCCAAACGGTCGTGGATTGAGTGACCAAATTATTATTATTATTTTATTTATTTATTTGAAGGGATCTTAACCCACGGGAAGCGATCCGCCAATCGATCCACAACCGTTTTCCTACTTACTGCCAGGTAAACAGAGGTGTGCGGAGTAAAGGAAACCTGTCCTAGCGTGTGGGCCCTGCCCCGGGAATCGAACCCGGGTCTTCCCGCTTGCGAGGCGAGCGCACTGAACCACTGAGCCACCGGACTGGGACAGGGAATGGCTTACCCCCGATCAGCATGGTGCAAATGGAAAATATCTTCTCTGCGTCCGTGTTGGCAGAAACGTTTCCAAACCCAACGCTGGTGAGGCTGCTCAGAGTGAAATAGAGAGCAGCAATGTAGGCGTTCCTCAGAGTTGGGCCACCCATTGAGTTATTGGTGTAGGGGGTTTCTAAACGTTTACTCAGTTCGTTCAGCCAACCTGCAAAGAGGGGATGGGGGGGGGGGAGAGGAGGTGGTGGTGGGTGGGGTGGGGAGTGGGGGGGTAGAGAGGAAGGGGGGGAGGAAGAGAAAACCACCATTCAATCCCAAGCAAACAGAAATTTTTTAAGGTGTTGTCAAAATTGGGCCAAAAATGCTAAATGCCGATCAGGTTGAATAGAGAGGAGGGAGGGAGGGAGGGAGTGGGATTGTAATGTAAAGTGTAGTGTCTGCGTGTTTTGTGGATAAAAAGCTTTATTCAAAGCTTTCAATGCTGAACTGTTTCTTCAGCATCGGGATTAAAATGTTCTGCCGAAGATCGTTTAAAATAAACCAGTGGAACAGGCTCGATGGGCTGAATGGCCTCCCTCCTTCCCTCCCTCCCTCCCTCCCTCCCTCCATTTATCCCGATCAGCATCCAGCCTTACCGATGTCCCACGTGTGAGGATCGTTCAATTCCATCTCCCTCTTGCCAATCACATACCAAATGCAGGCCATCCAGTGAGCGAGCAGGGCAAACATGGACATGAGCAGTGTGAGGACCATAGCACTGTACTGCGAGTAACGGTCCAGCTTCTGCAACAGGCGGAGTAACCTCAACAGGCGCACGGTCTTCAACAGGTGAACCAGAGAGGTCTGCGAAAACACGAGGACAAAGAACCTGAAAAGATTGCCCTTGACTTAAGAGTCCTTACAGTCTGGACCGCACTGCCTGAAAGGGTGGCGCGAGCAGATCCGACCATGGCTTCCGAAAGGATTAAGTACTTGAGAGGGAAGCACTTGCAGGGCTATTGGGGGTAAGAGCGGGGGAGTGGGACTAGTTGGCATGTCTTTCAAAGAGCAGGCAAGGGCACGATGGGCCGAATGGCCTCCTTTTGCGCTGTAAGATTCTGCCATTCTATGATTCCAACTCCTGCCCTTTGCTGACCAATTTTTAATCCCTTCTGCCATCTTTCCTACGCCCCTGTTTTTATCACAGATTCTCCCGGGTGGCACTTTATCAAAGGCTTTCTGGAAACCCATCCACCTTGTCTACCTTATAGGATGGAATGATGGGCCAACTGGCTTCTCTTCCACCCTGGCATTTCCACAGTCTTTTCCGGAGCTTCACGTAAAGTGGTGAAGCGTTTTGAGGCACAATAATGTTTTGTTGCGCGAATGAACGAGAAGACCGCACGGGGTTGGGCAAAATATAAGTCATTGCAGGACACGCTCTCACCCTAAATGCAACCAAACAGCCCGAGCAACGAACGAGGAAAGATTCACCGCAAAGCTTTTGTTGCAATTAATACAGAGACAGACAAAAGCCTCTCTGGCTTTCTATCTCTCTCTCTCTCTCTCTTGTTCTCTCTGTCTGTCTTTAATACAATGACCGAGAGGGAAAGGCAGAGAGAATGTTTAGGACATGGTGGGGGGGGGAGGAAGGGGATGGGGAGAGAGCACCAGCTCAGACACGATGAGCAAAGATCAGGAGAATTCGATTCGAGGAGGGGGGGAAGTAGGTACGAACAAAAGGCCGTGGAGGTTGGATCCGTTCAAATCTTCGAGACTGAGTTGGATAGATTTTTGTTGGGTAATGGTATCAACAACAACAGCAACAACTTGCAAACGCAGAGTGCCCTTCACCCAGAGTAGTGTCCCAGAACATCGAAGGGGACTGATACACTTACCACCGTGATGTTAAAGGCGTACAGGAGATCAAATGGAAGGGCAGCGATCAAATCCACCACAAACCACGTGGTCCCATAGTGGATACAGATGGACCGGGAGTCGTAGACCACCTGCCCCGACTGACTGACGAAGGTGGTACGGAAATTCAGGACGATGTCTGGCGGACAACACCGAGAGGCGGATTAGTTACCAAAAAACATACCGCACACGCTCTGGGGTCAGCTCGGCGGGAGAGCAATAAAAATCATCCTAAATCCTCCTCGCGCTTGATAGGGCGCCTCGTCGCGTCTTCGAGAGACGTCTCGCAGCGCTTCACAGCGTACGCTGTAAAGCGTAGTGACTGTATATTCCGCGGGCGAAACGCGGCAGCCAATTGCCCCACAAACAGACCAAATTATTATTATTATTATTAGTTATTTATTGAAAGGGTTAAGCAAATCACCAATCGACTAACAACCGGGTTCTTACTTACAGCGAATAAACAGAGGCGCGTGTGTGTGTGTGTGTGTGTGTGCGCACGCATGTGTGCGCGCGTGTGTATGCGTGTGTGTGTGAGCGCGCGGAGTAAGGAAACTTGCCCAATGTTGCGCCCTGACCCGACCGGGAATCGAACCCGATGTCCTCTCGCTTGCGGGGCGAGGGCTCCAACCGCTGGAGCCACGGGGACGCCGCAGACTGACCGAAGATGAAGAGCATTTCCACGGTGATGTCGCTGACGATGGTGCTGCGGGAGGTGGAGTCGCTGCCATCGATCTCGGCGAAGCAGACGTTGTAAGGCACGGTCACCGCCACGTAGAAGGTGGCCAGCAAGATCAGCCAGTCCCAGCCGGCCTTGAACATGCTGTAGTGCAGGAGGATGAAACGAGCCTTCTGAATGGACGCCACTTTGTACTCGGGGAGGGAAGACTTGTTCTCGAAGGCATGCTGCCAAACGAGGAGACACAGAGAGAGAGAGAGCGAGAGAGAGAGAGAGAGAGAGAGAGCGAGAGCGAGAGAGTGAGCGAGAGAGAGAGAGGATCTCCAACTCCACCTCAACACAACGGCAAAGTATTGTACGATAACTTAATGCCGACGATCCTTACATTGCGCACGGCAGCGTCCCACAAGCAGTCATGGATCCAGAGACCAAATTATTATTTTTTAGGGGGGAAGGATTAATCCCCCCCCCCCCCCCCCCCCCACCCCCCCAACCGCCTCACCCTCGGAAAGCGAATCGCTATATGCACTACAAGGAAAAAAAACGACAGCTCATCGCATTCGTTTAGCGCCTTTCACATCCCGAGGACGCTGGGCAAAACCAATCGGTCCCAGAGAAACAGTCAGGGCTTCGGATCTTTGGGGGAAGTCTCTTTCAGACGGGCAGCGAGCGATTCGCAGGACAAATGGGCGCGAAAACACAAGCCCAGCGATGAAAAGTATATGGCGTTTACATAACCGTGGAACCGTCCATTCCAACGCGATTGCCTCTGGCGGAAGTCCGCAGAGAACACATTCATTCGCCCGTCCAAGTTGTTGAGGCACTCAACTGACAGAGTGTGGGGCAGGAATTCGTTTCGGGCCAAGTGATTTTTCCTATCAAAACACACTTTATCTCCACCACAAGACGGCCAGCGTTTGTTTTTCGACAGAAACGTTTCCCAACGACCTTTTTCTTGGAGTTTCAGGGCTCTAACTCCGAGACGAGGGGTGGGGGAGGGAAATCCACCCCCCAAGTTTGGCGGGGGAGGGCGGGGGGGGCGGTGGGGGTGTGGGGCGGGGCGGGAAACTGCCTGGACCTCAACTCGCCGCTCGACGCAGAAGAGGGGACTCACGTTGTCGAGCGTGACTTTGCCCTTGTCCTGTTTCCGCAGGCGGCTGGTCAGGTGATAGAGGACTGTCCTGCCTCGCTTGCGGGCGGCGCTGAAGTGTGATCCGCCGGCACATTTGTTCCTACGTTTCTCCTCTGTCGAAAGAGAAACAGGACTCGGGCAGCAGCAGCAACAACAACAACGACGACGACGACAACAACGACACATGATATTTACACACAGCGCCTGCCTTTCGCGTCGGGAGGACGTCCGAGGGCTGGACGGTCAGGGATCGGCATCCGAGCCGGTGGTTGGGATCAGGAAGAGGGGTGGAGGGCGGTGGGGTAGGGGAAGGGGTAGGAGGGCGACCAAAGGCGCGGTCGGTCGAAGTGGAGGGTCTTGAGATGGGTCTTGAAGGAGGTGAGGGAGGGGGCGAGGCAGAGGAACTGTGGGATGGAGTTCCAGAGGTGTTGGGGGCTGGGGTGGGGGGGCCAGAGAGGCTGAAGGCCCCGCCCGTGGGGTGGGGGGAGGGTGGTGGGGGGAAATTTCGGCCATGACACTCAAGAGACACCAACACATCACACGCTGATAGATTGTCACCCCGTTGGTTTGATGGCCTGAAGACGGGGCGGGGGGGTGGGAGTGGGGGAGAAGATTAGAGGCTTCAGCGTTGGGTTTTGTGGATCTCCTCACGTCATGACCCACCTTCCTTGCGGTCTCCGTGCTGGTTCTTCCCCCGAGTCTCTGTCGTGTCCTTGAACGAGACCAGATACAGCACGACTTCCCCCTTCTCGTTTTTAATGGGAACGATGTCCAGCAAACACCAGAACCCCAATCCTGAGAGAGAGAGAGAGAGAGAGAGGGTGTGAGAGTGAGAGAGAGTGAGGGTGAGTGAGATAGTGAGAGAGAGTGTGATAGTGAGAGAGAGTGAGAGAGAGATAGTGAGAGAGAGTGAGAATGAGAGTGAGAGCGCGTGTGAGAGTGAGTGAGAGAGCAGACATGACCTCCAAATAACAACAACAACAACCTGCACCTGCGCAGCGCAGCGATGGGAGGTGTGGGGCGCCTCCCCCTTTCCCCCCCGCGCCCCCACCCCCCCCTCTCTCCTTCCCTCCCCATTTTCAGATCGCGCCCGAAGACCATCCTCTTCGTCCAGCGCCTACGGTCGCCTCCCCCGACCCCCGCAGCTCGCTCTGGGACCCTGCCCTGCGTGAGTGTGTGTGGGGGCGGGTGGTGGGGGGGGGGAGGGCGGGTTGGGGAGCTGCGTCGACGCAAGTCCCAAGGCGTAGCCCCAGGACATGGTTTGAGGTCGAGCGGGAGCGTTAGGGGAGAGGAAACGCTTCCGGAGGGGAAAGCGCGGTGGTTAACCAACCGCCCAGCGGACGTCAGCAGGGCCCCGGCTGGATCCTCACCGGTTTTCTTGTACAGCCGCACCTCAGCCTGAAACTCCTGCTTGCCTTCCAACGCCTTCTCCACCTGCAGCGAGACCTGGTCGCTGGTCTCGGCCCCGTGCAGGAACCGGCAGCGGCAGTTCTTCTGCATGACCTCGGTCCGGGCGAAGCCGGTCAGGTCACAGAAGCCATCGGAGCAGTAGACGATGGGGAAACCCCGACACACCTGGGCGTTGGCCAGGATGAAATTGCTGTCTGCGGAGATGAAACACAGCCATAACTTGCAGCGCGCGTGTGTGCGCGTCTGTGTGCGTATGTGTCTGTGTCTGTGGGTGTGCGTCTGTGTGTGTGTGCGCGTCTGTGTGCGTATGTGTCGATGTCTGTGGGTGTGCGTCTCTCTGTGTGTGTGTGTGTGTGTGTCTGTGCGCGTGGGTCTGTCTGTGTCTGTGTCTGTGTCTGTGTGCGAGTGGTGTTAGTCGGCTGGCGGGGGCAATAACCCCTTCAAAAAATTAAAATCATAACAAATTGGTCACTTCAATCCCCGGGTGTACGTGGGCCGCCGGCGTGCGCGATCGGCTGCCGCGTTTCGTCCACAAGGTACGCACTCAATCCGCTTGACAGCGTATCCTGTGAAGCGCTTTGAGACGCCTCGGAGAGGGTCACAAAGGCAATTGAAAGCGAGCGAGAGGAGCTTGAAATTGATCCGCTGGGTACCTGGCAGCCATTGCAGCCTGGCGAGGGCTGGGCGCGACGGGGGGAAGGAAGCAGACTCGAAAAACCTGGAACGACGCAGGCACATAACTTAGCAATTCATTATCACCTCCCACACTTCCTCAAAACTGCCGTCTTTCTCGCAGCGAACACAAACTTTTATTCTCCCCCCCACCCCCCGCCCCCCCTCCACCCCCCCACACCCCCACCCATCCCTCCGTCGCCCCACTTTCATTCTCCCCACTTTTATTCGAATAAGAATTCACAAAATCAACCGGAACCAGAAATCCAATGAAGCGCTTTGACGCATCTCTGCATCAAACTGAGAATTATTATTGTTGTTGTTATTATTAGCTATAATTTAGCCCCTTTTTGGTAAAATAACACACCACGTTTCCAATTCCAATGACCTGCTCAGAGAACAAGTACAGAAAGGTGTCACTAACAGCATTTAAACCCAGATACCAAATCGCATCCATTTATCTTCGACCCTCTTAATACCCAACTCCTCAAATCTCTACCTGCCCTTAATATCAATGATCTGTCAATGATCTGTTGACACACACGTGCATTTGTAGCACAAATGTTTCCTTGGGCAGCCAATTCTCATCCACAGTCTGCTTTCCCCGGTCTACGTACAATAAAATCCTGATAACTCGTCACTCCAGGAGAAAACAGCTCAGCAATGAATTATCAGGAGCGGCGAGTCAGACACACACACACACACACATATATATGTATAAAATGCGACTGGGATATTGTGGAGTCCTGTAGCTCAGTGTTAGAGCGCTCGCAAGCGAGAGGACCCGGGTTCGATTCTCAGGCAGGAAGAAACCCGAGGCAGGTTTTCTTACTCCACACACACACACACACACACACACAAATGAATGCGGTCAATTCACTTTACAGTGCGTTCTGTGAAGCGCTTTGAGACGTCTCGAAGACAAGTGATAAGGCGCTGTATTAAAGGCAAGGATTATTCTTCTTCTTATTATTATTATTATTGCTGACAGCATGATGAATTAAGTGGCGGTGGCAAGTTAAGTCAGGGTCGAATCATCAGGTGTTTACTGTTGCTCATGAAGTCTTCCCACTGAGCCGTGTGGGGTTGTGGATCGCAAGATCACACGATACCGATTACGATCAAGAGGTTTGTGCAACACTAAGCACTGCTCGTGATGCGCTAAAGAGCTGGAGAGAGAGTTAATTACATGGACTGCAGCTTGCAATTTGTCTGCTGCGATAATGCCAAGCTTCGCAAGCAGTTGTTAAGATGTCACTGTGATAATGTTAAGACTCCTTATCGCCTGTTGCTACTTTCCTGTGACAGTATTTGAGCCTTATATAATGTTGGCGCAGTACAGAATCGGATTCCTCCTGCAAGCAGCGGCCAGCCGGCTGATTCGAGCTCGCTTGGCAAGTCCTCCCGAGGTGAAAGATCCCTTTAAACGCAAATCGGACCGCACTGTATTATGACAATAATAATAAATAATAATCCTTGCGATTTGATAAAGACTCAGTAATTTGCGCGGCTCTCCTGTCGTAAAAGAAACCGATCCCTCTACAGACCGGGACGAGTGGCCCACACTCTATGTGCGTCGTTAGTATATAATATAATAATAATCCTTGCAATTTGATACGGCGCTTTCCACGTCTTCTCGACGTCTCAAAGCGCTTCACGGAATAGACCGTAAAGTGAATTGACCGTATATTTGTGGGCGAAACGCGGCAGCCAATTGCGCACAGCAACGTCCCCCACAAACAGCCGTGGATTGAAAATGACCAATTTATTATTGTTTGGTTTTTTGGAGCGGTTATTTTTAGGCTCTGTGCGGAGTAAGGAAACTCGCCCGAGGTCTCGCCCGGCCGGGAATTGAACCCGGGTCTCTCGCTTGCGAGGCGAGCGCTCTGACCCCTGAGCTACAGGACTCCACAAATTAATGCTTCGGATTTTACAGCGCAAACCACACAGCCACTGCGCTTTACAGCAAATCCTGCGAAGGGCTTTTGAGATGTTTTCCCGACATGAGAGGCTCTTTATTAAATGCCAAGATTACTTTTGTTGTTATTATTATTATTATTATTATACCCTTCGAGTAGAGAGCAATGTTCCCAATCTTCCCTGAAGCGCAAATTCCGCCAATTGTCGCAAAAGTAAAGCTCGACATTTCGCACGCGACGCGGAAGTCTCACGACAATCACAAACGTCACGACTTTGGTCCCACGTGGAAACTCTAAGCGATGCCTTGCAGTTACCCGGTTCGTCTCGCTAAGTGGTGCAAATATCGCACAGAGGAGCGACCCAGAGCAGGGTTGAAGAGATAAGCTCTTCGATTCGGTTACGTAACCCGCATTGAGCGTCAAAGGGTTCAGTAATTACCCGATTCTGAGCAGACAGGTTGCGGATTGCTCCCCAGTGACTCAAATGCTCGTGGTTTAACCTGAGGTTTAATGACGTCCTCTGTTCTTTTCCCCTCGGAATGAGTTGCTCATTCGAGGACTAAACCTGTATAACAGAGGCCGATAACCAGCAGACGACTCCCCCTCGCTTTACGCAGTCCCTAAAAATAATAATCATCCTCGCATTTCATTTGAGGCAGCGCCTTATCGTGGCTTCGAGACGTCTCTCAAAGCGCTTCGCAGCAAACGCTGTGAAGTGCAGCGACTGTGTGTTTCGTGAGCGAAACGCGACAGCCAAACAGTCCCCACAAACAGCCGTGGATTGAGTGACCAAATTATTATTAGGTCTAATCTCGCCGGGCACCCCAACACCCCCCTCCCTCCCCGACACTCGCTCGCTCGCTCGCTCACTCACTCACTCACTCACACACTCGCTCGCTCACTCACTCACTCCCCTGCGCTCCCATGTCAGGAACGTCCACTCGGTTGAGGGAACAGGGAGTAAACAAATCGAGGCGTGTTGTGTTTTGCTTTGTTTACCTGCGTACAAGAATAAACCCACGAGAGAAAACCCCTTGGGCGGTGCCCAGGTGGGTGAGTGATCGCGAGTGAGTGAACATCACACCAGGGATCACCGGCATCAGTCAACCAGTTAAACTCTGGACCTCTCTCTCCGTCAATCCCTCTGCCTTACTCCCTCGTTCCCTATTTTCCGATCACACCTGAATACCTTCCTTTTTAACCGTACCTGAGATCACCTCCTCCCTCCCCCCCGCCCCCCAACTCCCCCCCGGCTCGGAATCAGGCTCCGCCACTGTTAAGCGCTACGAGACGCTGACCCTGGCGCTGTTTAAATGCAAGTTGCGTCGCTGTTGTTCTGTTGCTCACCATCAGTGAATAGTTAACAACTATTGTTGTAACCACAGCATAAATGGTGTCGTTTAATAACTGCAACATGAGTCACGTAGCAGTTGACGTAATACACCGATGGCAGCCAACGGAGCAGGAATCTTAACGCGCATTTTCATTCCAAACGTAACGTACGTACACGCACAAACACTCGCGCGCACACGAAAGGATAAGTTTTCTTTTAAATAAACCCATTCCCGGAAACACTCTGCACCTATTCTATTTTCCTATCTATCTCCGAGTTGTAAGTCTCTCTCTCTCTCTCTCTCGGGCAAAGATAAAAACTATACTGAAATATTTAGGAGCCTCGTGGTAACGGATAATAATAATAATAATAATAATAATAATAATCCTTGCATTTGATACAGCATCTTATCACGTCTTCGAGACGTCTCAAGGCCCTTCACAGGATAGGCTGTAAAGTGAATTGATTGCATCTTTTGTGGGCGAAATGCGGCAGCCGATTGCGCTCAGCGACGTCCCCCTCACACACAGTCGTGGATTGAGAAGACGCGATAAGGCGCTGTATCAAATGTTATAATTTATCATGATTAAATATCTAAGCTTTCCCACATGTTCGTCGTTGTGTGTGTTGCGAGAGATCTGCTGTCCAGGGCTGAAAGCAACGAGTTCGGTCGACCAAAACTAGACCGAGCTGTTAAATTAAACATACTGGGCAAAATGCACTGTGTGGGGGAAAAAAAAGACTTTATACTGTACTCAAACTCCATGGGTCTGATCTGCAATCATTGGATTTCCTGCTGCGTTTCTCACACAGAATACACGGTCACTCCATTTTACCCCGTATCCCGTGAAGCGCTTTGAGACGTCTGTATCAAATGCAAGGATTATTATTATTATTACTATTATTAATCATTATTATTATAGCTTATTATTCTTTTGAGCACTTAACCGACTCCCCCATCCACCCGATTCTGTGTACCTAATTCAGTCAGTTTCGCAACTGAACTAAAAGGTACAGGTTCTTTACGTGAGCCCTGGGAAAAATAAAAATTATTCTGTTTACTAATGTTGCTGTATCTCCCCAGGGACCCTGACAACATAGTCTTGTCTCCCCCCCCACCCCCCCACCCCCCACCCACACACACACACACAATCTGAAATCACTGTACCATTTTATATACTGTATAATCCTCCTGTGGTCCCAAATTGTCTGCCGCGTTTCGCCCGCAAATATACAGTCAATTCGCTTCACAGTATATTCTGTGAAGCGCTTTGAGACGTCGCAAAGACGTGAAAAGTGCTGTATCAAATGCGAGGATTATTATTATTATTATTATTATTATTATTATAAGGCGCTGCATCAAATGCGAAGACTATTACTAACAGCGCAGTTTAAAGAATCCACTCAAACACATCATTCTCACCATGTAACTGAGCGCAGTACCAGACAGGCGATTCTCGTTGTTTCCCAGGTATATTGTTCAAAATTATATACACATATATACATATATACACATACTTACACTTCCACACTCACTCAAACACCCGGATACACACACACACACACACACACACACACTCCCACCACCCGGCAAATATAGACAACCGTATTTCTCCCGTAACATTGGGGTCAAAGTAGAGACCGTTGAAAGTCTCCTAAATAGAAAACAAAAAGCTTACGTGTGCCATCGAACCGTGTAGCTATAGTGTCGAGGAAGGTGTTCTGAGGAGCCAACAAGCCCTTCATGACAGGCATGTCTGCCCCTTCACCGCGGTCGGGTTGTGGTACCCGAGTCACTGGAGTTCGGGCAGTCCCGATCGCTGTGGATGGAGAGTTACATTAGCGTTGAGAGTGAGATCTTCCCGGGCATAGAGACCAGTTGCACACATGGTTGATAGGGACGCAGCTCGGCTGTTGTGTTGTGCGTCGTGTGTGTGTGTGTGTGAGTGAGAGAGAGAGAGAGAGAGAGAGAGAGATTATACAATCGCATGTTTCTCTCAATGTCCATCATTTCCAATCAATCACCGGTCGCTACAGCAATTGGGATCAAGACGTCGTGGGGTGGTGGGGGGTGGGTAAGGGAGCTCCCCTTATCTCCATCCTTCTTCCCCCCCCCCCCCCCCAACCCCGTCCGCTGGCAATGAAAGTCCTGTGGTTGGGTCTATCAAGCTCTGAGCAATCGCTCTCACTCCCTCTGGTAAGCTCACAGCTACAGCTTCTGTTACAGAGGTTCCCGTTGAAGCCGTCGAGAACGTGTGTGTGTGTGTGTGTGTGTGTGAGTGTGTGAAGGAGCCGAGAGAGAGGAAGGAGTTTGCTGCCTTATTTAGACTTCTCCCCTCCCTCTTCAAAGCCGCATGCGTTTTTTTTTTTAGGGGGGGGTGGAGGGGGGGGTGATTCTGCCGCGTTCGCCCACAAATATACAGTCAATTCACTTTACAGTGTGTCCTGTGAAGCGCTTTGGGACGTCCTCCCGACGTGAAAAGCGCTCTATCAAATGCGAGGATTATTATTATTAATATTATTATTTTAAGAAGTTTAACAAGCTTCAACAAGCTCTATTTTGACCCCCGCGCCCCCCCCCCCCCCCCACCACCAAAATTCGGGGAAAGAAGAATAAGAAAAAATAGATTTTTTTTTCTTTCAAGACAGGACGTGAGGATGGGGGTGAGCGAAGGCTGAGAGGAGCTTTTGAGATGTCTCAAACGCCTGCTGTATAAAATCATCATCATCATCAATATCGGGCAGCTCTTGTAGACCGGTCCGATGGGGAGTTGAGAGGAGAATCAGGAGCTGTATATACAAATATACAGTCAATTCACTTTACAGTGTGTTCTGTGAAGCGCTTTGGGACGTCCTCCCGACGTGAAAAGCGCTATATCAAATGCAAGGATTATTATTATTATTATTATTATTATTATTATTATTTCCAACGGCAGTTCATGTTCCTCACCTCTGACATTCCTTGCCTCGCTATTCCAGCGCCTTCGCTCTCAGCCTCGGCCACAAACTGCCGTCGCACTGGCTAATTGGCGTGTGGCAGACAGCTCAACCTTTCCTTCCCCGTGCAGTATTTCACTCAATGCTTCAGGCAGCCCAAATGACTGCCCGCTCCCCCCCCCCGCCCCCCACCCACCCCTCCCCTCGCCCCCACTGTCATAATCACCGCTTTATGTCGGAGGATCCAAGTCTCGCATTAAAATACCAGGAAAGCTGCGGAACGTGGGCAATTAGCGCCGGGGACGGAGTCCGTCAGTTAATTAAAATAATTCCCGCTGAGCTCCTAGTTGCGCTGTGTGTGTGTGCGTGTGCGTGTGCGTGTGTGTGCGCGTGTGTGTGTATGTACGCGTACAACGGCCTCGCAGTTCAGCGGGTGCTATTTTCGGTCGCTCTGTTGAAACCTTGTGATGGTTTCACTCGTCTACGGTATATTTCAGCGCCTCGGGACGTCCTCCCGACGTGAAGGGCGCGACACAAATGTAATCTTGTTGTTGTTGTTGCTGCTGCTGCTGCTGTTGTTGTTGTTCTAAGCCCTTTTGCTGAGGGCGCGCAGAGAGGAACCTAAACTCACGACGGCTCAGAAAAGTGCTCACCTGACGGTTCTGCCAGCGCAGGATGGCCACCGCCGGCCTTTGACTCAGCTCTCCCCGTAGCGTAGCCCGCGCCTCGCAAGCGAGAGGACCCGGGTTCGATTCCCGAGGCGGGGGAGAGAACCGTAACCGAAAAATAACAACGACCTGGTCGCTCAATCCGCGAGTGCTTGTGGGGGGGGGGGGGGGGGGGGGGGGACGCTGGTGTGCGCGATCGGCTGCCGCGTTTCGCCCAAAAAAGCATAACGGTCAATAATTCGCTTTTTACGGTGTATTCTGTGAAGCGCTTTGAGACGTCTCGAAGACGTGATAAGGCACCACGTGAAGTGCAAGGATTAAGAGCCCCCGAACCAGGCTGAGGTTTCCGTGCATCCCGACTACACATCCCAGAGATAACTTGCTGGAATGGAATACGCTCTCTCCCCCCGTCTCTCTCCCCCCCTCTCTCTCCCACCCCCTCCCCCCCTCTCTCTCTCCCTGGAGCGACACATCCCGTTGGACCTAATTCCAGGCGCAGGTTGGCACCAGGAGCCAAGGCGTGGTCGGGGGTGGGGGGTGGGGGTTGGGGGTGGAACCCAGAGCGTGTGTTGGGGTGTGGGGGGGGTGTGGTTGGGGGGGTAACTGCTGGAGTCTTATCAGCTAAACCCACAAGAGCCCTTTAAACCCAAAGGCTTTCAACTTGGGAGGGAAGAGGCTGCCACCTGATGGCAGTTGCAGGCGGCGTCACCTTTCGCGGGCAGGTGCGCCTCGAGCGACTCGCTAAAGCTCGGACGCCTCTCCGCGGAACACCTCGGACACCTCTCCGGAACACCTCGGACCCCTCTCCACAAAGTTTCGACCGTCGAGAAGACCGTCGAGACGCCGCGCGCTCGGTAAGTCTGGCCACTCTTTTCCAGCCACGTCTCTCCTTCGCTCCCCGCCGCGAATCCCTGGGAACCGGGAACAATCCGACAACGTTCCTCGCGTCGCCCCGCTACGCCTCTCAGACCGGGTCGAACAAGAGCGGAAATTAAACGCCCCCCTCACGTCCCTCCCCCCACACACACACGCGCGCGCGCACACCGTTAACGGCCGCTTATTTTCCGGGGAAAAGACACGACACCAGAGATTTCACACCTTCGCTTTTTTATTCGCAACTGCATTCACCGCGTGTTTCCCCGCGCGCTCGCAGGCCTGTCTTTGGCGGCCGGGAACATCGCCCGCTCCCACCCCCACACCCCCCCCGCTGCCACCCCCGCAACCCCAACCCCAACCCCGCGCCCCTCCCGCTTCCCCATGGTGAGGATCCCTGCAGCGTGGTTGCCCGAGCCGCGGAGCAGACGGTACAGTTGGCTCCGGAAGTCGAGGACGGAGCCCGCCCTCCGCTTGCCCAGGGTCAGGATGCCAGCCGCATGGTTGCCGGTCCCCCGCAGCCGGGTCAGCAGGTGGCAAGGGCAGGTCTTCCGCCGGCAGCAGTCGGGGACCGGGGACGAGACGGAGACCAGGGAGCAGAGCAGGAGCAGAGCCAGAGCCAGAGCTGAGCGCTGTGGGGAAGACAAACACAATCGGGCGCCGTAAGAGTAATTCTTTCCGCTTCTTTCCAGCGCCTCCTCGACGATAAGTGAGCCGTCGAGTTATTATAACCATAATCATCATAATAAACCTGGCATTCGATACAGCGCTTTTATCACGTCGTCGAGACGTCCCAAAGCGCTTCGCGGGATATTCTGCAAAGGCGAATTTTTTGGGGGGCAAAACCCGGCAGCGTTCCCCCGAAAAACAGCCATGGATTGAGGGACCAAATTATTCTTATTTTATTTCTTTTTAAAATTAATTTCGAAGGAGGTTACTGCTATCCCCGGGAAAGCGATCCACCGATCATCGAACAACCAGGTTCCTTATTTTACTGCTGGACAAACGCGGGGCGTGTGCGCGCGCGCGGGCGCGTGCGTATGTGTGCGCGGGTGTGCGCTGAGCGCGCTCGGCTCCCACGTTTCGCCCCCACAAGGCACCGTGCGGTCCGCACACTTTGGCAGTACGTTCCCGTGAAGCGCTTTTGAGACGTCTCGAAGACGTGATAAGGCTCTGTATCAGACGGCGAGGGTCGTTGGTACAGCAACATCCCGCAAACCGTTCCCTTAAGAGAACGACCCGTTTTATCCGGAGGGTTAAGAGTCGCGGAAACCCTTCATCGCTCAACACACACACACACACACACACACGCACACGCGCGCACACTCACGAACACGCGCGCACGCATTACCCTTGCTTCCGAGTTCTCCATGCCCAGCCAGCGAATTCTTCACAGCACCAAGCAGACGCGAGGCGTATCCTTCACGGCCGGGCTCCTGTCAGTCGGTCTCCGTCTCCTCGAGTCCCTCGATCCCCTATTTATATCGTATTCGGGCTGCGGCTTTTGTTGCACACTCCCCCCCCCCCACCACCACCATCCCCAACCCAGCAATTGCCCCCACGTCAGTACCACACGAAGCACTGCACAGTGTGACCCCCCTCATTAGCCATTATGCCGTCGATTCAAAGAGATCGAGACAATCTAATGAGAGAGAAAGGACGCAACGCACATTATCCTAAATTATAACATCTGCCGGGGAATTTGCCGCTATTCCGGGACGGACCGACGGACGCTGAGACCGTCACAATGTCTAATAAGACGGTGATTTGCGGTCGGACAATAGGGAGGCGGAAAATGAAGATCTTTTCGGTCGCCCTGGAGAAGAGCCGGCCCTTCGGGAACGCTTTCGAAGTCTCTTGTCTGCTGGAAATCAGAAAGAGTCTGGACTCGGATCCACCTGAATGAGACCCTGAATAGACTTCTCCTGGAAGTTCCTAATGATCGGTTAATCACCTCAACACGTTCCTTGCTTCTCGGGAGACCGAGAAAGGCAGGTCATTAATCTTGCGCTCTTCTTTTTTTTTTCCACGCAAATAAATATATATATATGTGTGTGTGTGCGTATAAAAAGAATTTGCTCGGCCGCCGTGAAATGACACACGCGGACACACCCATCACCGCGCTCAGCAACGCCGAACACTCTTGTCCAACCGTCGAAGAGGCAGAACGCGAAGGCCTTTTTTTTTTTTTCGGTGTCCGTAAGTTTTTTTTTATATAGAAATTACAGATAAGAAACATAAATATTATTTGGCGCGCCCTTTATAACATCGTGACATATTTTAATCGTCAAGTGGGTTGGTGCGGGGAGTGTGAGGAGGAGGAATGGGGGGAAGGGGGGGGGGTGGAGGTGGTGGTGGTGGTGGGGGGGGCGGAGAGGGGAGAGAAGAGGGTAATTTCTACTGCAATCGTCCAGTTTGAGCCACTGAAATAAAAAATATAACTCGCGTTGGGATTGAATAAATCCCTCGAACTGTTTGGAAGTCGAAACATATGTAGTGTGTGTCCCACCCCTCTCACTCCCCACTCTCCTAACCACCCAAAACCCCACCCCCAATAAAAATATTGCTCGGGGTGAAATGTGAGCATATAGACCGCTCGCTCACGAGAGGAACCTGTTCTGTCAGCTGTGGGGCGCGCGTGTGCGTGCGCGGGCGTGTATCTGTGCGTGTACATGTGCGTGTGCGCGTGTGTATCTGTCCGTGCGCGTGTGTGCGCGTGTCTGTGTGTCTTTTCACCCACAAGACTATACAGTCAATTCACTCGACAGTACATTCGGTGAAGCGACTTCGAGACGTCTCGAAGACGTGATAAGGCGCTGTATTAAATGCAAGGATTATTATTATTATTATTATGCACGTGTTTTGGGGGGCGGAGGGGGGGGGGAGGAGGTGGGGGAGAGAGAGAGAGAGAGAGAGAGAGAGTGGGAGCAGATCACTGCAATAGGCTGCAGTGTCCCTGGAGTTTTGGGAGTGGTGGCGTAAGTACCCGTGAAAGGGACGTGTGGTGGAATGAGCGTCCGCGCGCGCGCGCGTGTGTGTCTGTGTGTGTGTTTGTGAGTGTGCAAGCGAGTGCGCGAGGGAGTGTGCAAGTGCGTGCGATGGAACGAGTGAGTGTGCGAGCGAACGAGTGAGTGCGCGAGTGTACGAGTGAGGGCATCGAGTTTACTATTGGGGTGACTGGGGGGGGGGAGATGAATTCGGATCCGTTAAGAGTCGACGTAAATATCTCGCTGTACGAGGGTGGATTGTGACGTGTTTGCCTGTTTAAACACCCTCCCCCCCACCCCGCCATCCCCCCCCCCCCCTCGCTCGCAGTGCACAGCCCCAGTGGGTTTAGCGGCTCTCTCTGCCGTGCGGCGAGACAAGACAGCGACTTTGCAAATCCTCTCGTCCAACCTGCGGCCAAGAGACTTGCGGACGGTCGGGAGGAAGCGTACGGTCAGGCACTCGCCCGGCTCGGCAACTCCCTCACCTCGGGACCATGTCAACGCCCTCTGTATCACCTTCTCAAACACACAGCGCGGGTCAGGGGCTGGGATAGGGCGCCGCCACGGGAGCGCGAGGCTGCAGTTGCGTGTGCGCGTGCGTCTGTGAGCGAGTGAGTGCCTGTGTGTATGTTTGTGGTGCGTGCGAGTGCCTCTCTGTGTGAGTGAGTGCCTGTGTGTGGTTGTGTGTGTGTGTGGTGTATGCTGTGTGTGTGCGTGAGTATGTGTGCGTGAGTATGTGTTTGTGTGGTGTGTGAGTGCCTCTCTGTGTGAGTGAGTGCCTGTGTGTGTGGTGTGTGAGTACGTGTGTGTGTGTGCGTGAGTATGTGTGTGTGTGTGTGGTGCACGTGAGTGGTCTGTCTGCGTCCATCCGTATGCATTTGAGTGTGGCTGTACTCTGGTACTTGCGTGCATGTGCATGTGCATGTGTCTGTGTGCGTGCGTGCGTGTATGCGTGGGCCTGGGGCCTGCGTTCGCGTACACATGCGTGTGCGGGCGCTCTTGTAGTTGCGTTCCCAGGTGCGCGTCCGGGTGCGGACGTGAGTATTTTCTGTATCCGCGTCTGGGGGCGTGTCTGCATTTGCGTGCGGACGCGGGTTGTGTGTGTCTGTATTACTATACAGCTCCCCTCCTCTCCTCCCCCCTCCTCTCCCCGCCCCTCCCCTCCTCTCCCTTCCCCTCCTCTCCCCTCCCCTCCCCTCCTCGGTCCCTCGTCACTGTGAGAGCTGGCGGGCGGTCAGTAGGAGCCGGTGTCACTTGTGCTCTCACTCTCAGGGATGGCGTCCAGGGCTGTCCGGGGTCTGAACAGGTCGGGAGACGCTGAGCCATTCTTACTGATCCCACACGACAGCGCTGTGTAGTGGATCTGCCTGATGTTGTCCAACGCCTCGCTCTTGGCTTGTTTCAGCAGATCCGCTTGTCCCTGCAACACGCAGCAAGAGAGAGAATGTGTGAGAGAGAGAGAGAGGGAGAGAGAGAGAGCACATTCAGAGAGGCAATTCGCAGACCGACGGCACGGACAATAGGAGCAGGAGTCGGCCATTCAGCCCTTCGAGCCTGTTCGGGCATTCTGGAAGATCGTGGGTGCATTTCCCTCCGAGGGGAGAGGGAAAGAGACGGAGACAGAGAGAGAAAGAGACAGAGACAGAGAGAGAGAGACAGAGAGAGATACAGAGAGAGAGAGAGAGAGAGAGAGACAGAGATACAGAGAGAGGTACAGAGAGAGAGAGACAGAGATACAGACAGACAGAGACAGAGACAGACAGACAGACAGACAGACAGACAAACAGACACAGACAGACAGACAGACAGACAGACACAGACAGACAGACAGACAGACAGACAGACAGACAGACAGACAGACAGACAGACAGACAGACAGACAGACAGACAGAGGCAAAACAGAAAGCACACAAGAAATTCTCAGCAATTTTCCTCTCGAAGCTCGACGGTGAGCGTCCACGCGCGTCAAAGACGGAATAAACACTACATCCTTTTCATCCCTCTTTATCCAATTAGTCTCCACTGAGTTCTCGCTCCGGGGCAGTAAGTGCCAAAAAAAAAAGAGAAGAACTTTCATTTTTATAGCTCCTTATCACATTAAAACGTCTGAAAGTGCTTCACTGTAATTACTATCAAGCTTTGCTCTGACTAGTTCTGCTGCCAAAAAAAAACCACACAGCCTTCTGCCCTCTCTCTCTCTCTCTCTCTCTCTCTCTCTCACAAGCAGCCGTCAAATGGGTTTGATGGATCTATCCGGTGGACAGTCAGGAGAGACCAGCAGCCATGTCAAATGGCGTCGCGGAGTCTTTGACGTCCGCCTGAATAATAATAATAATAATAATGTAATGATCCTTGCATTGGACACAGCGCCTTATGGCGTCTTCAAAACGGCAGGATTATTACTTTGTTATTACTACATACCCCGGTTGCATCACTCGGTGTGAGGACGTCGTTCCCCCCCCCCCCCCCCCCACCTCGGGTTTAGAACCAACGTGAGCCTTTTCCGCTCCGCAGGTGAGCGAGAGCGAACCTCCGATGGACCTGTTTTACAACCGGCTGCGAAGTCCGAAACCCCTGAGACCTTCAGTGTGACGTCTTACAGCTTTGGCGGTGGGAGATTCCGGGGCGGGGACGGGGGGACGGGGCGGGGGGGGGACAGGACACACACGCACACGCACACACACACACGCACACACACACACACACACACACACACACCAACCTCCCCACCTCCTCAAACCTGTAGAGTAGTAGTTAGAGCGCTCGCCCCACAGACAAGAGGACCCGGGTCGAGGCGAAATGTTGGGCAAGTGTCCTTACTCCACACACACACACTCACACGCACACGCACACACACACACACACACACACACGCACATGCGCGCACACGCACACGCACACGCACACACACACACACGCGCCTCTGCTTCCTCGAGCAGTAATTAGGAACCCGGTCGTTAGTCAATCGGAGGTTCGCTTTTCTTGGGGGGTAACAACCCCTCCAACAAAAACGACAACAATAATTTGGTCGTTCAGTCCACGGCCGTTTGTGTGTGTGTGTGTGTTTGTGTGTGAGAGAGTGTGTGTGAGTGTGTCTGAATGTTTGTGTGTGTGAGTGTGTGTGAGTGTGAGAGTGTGTGTGTGTGTGTGAGTGTGTGTGTGTGTGTGTGTGAGAGAGTGTGTGTGTGTGTGAGTGTGTGTGAGTGTGAGAGTGTGTGTGTGTGTGTGAGTGTGTGTGTGGAGTGACACTTTCAAGCAGGAACAAAGGTGCAATAGCTTAAAGAAGCCACAGAGAGGCAGCACACACACACGCGCGTACACACACACAGATAATAATAATAATAATAAATCCTCGCATTTGATATAGCGCTTTTCCCGTCGGGAGGACGTCCCAAAGCGCTTCACAGAACACACTGTAAAGTGAATTGACTGTATATTTGTGGGCGAACGCGGCAGCCAATTGCGCACAGCAATGTCCCACAAACAGTCATAGATTGAAAATGACCAATTTATTATTGCTTTTGTTTTGGAGGGACTATTATTGCGCACAGATATACACACACACTCATACGTATCCACACACACAGACACGCGCGCACACACACACAGACACACAGACACGCGCGCGCATACGTACACACACACGCACACACACAGACGCACACACACACACAGACACACACACACACATACACACGCGCACACACACACACAGACACACGCGCGCATACGTACACACACACGCACACACACACACAGACACACACACGCGCGCACACGCTGTAGCCCTTCCCCAAACTCTATAGCTGTACAAATCGACCCATTTACGCTCAGATGACCCGCCGGGATCTGAGCCACAAGGTTGACAGCGCCCAACGAAATAAAGAGTCGATCGCAGAATCTTGTCGAGACGCGTCTTATTTTCCTTTGGGCCTCAAAACGCACAGTCACTACACCCTTGCAGCGCGTCCCGCGAAGGGCTTCGAGCCGCCCGGAAGGGGTCGGATCGAACGCGAGGGTCGTTACTGCCGTTGGGACGTCCTCCGGCCGGAAAAGGGAGCTGCACGTTGGGCGCAACGGTTGGGGGGGGCGAGCGTGGGCGCCGAGCGATCACGCTACCGACTGCCCGGAATCGGGGGCCACTTGCCTTCAGTACGGTGATGTTCCACGCAAAGCTCTCAAAAGCTTTCTGCAGCTTCCGCCCTTTCAGCCCCTCCTTCGCTCCCATTCTGTGCAAATCTTCGTGGAAATCCAGACCTGCGACGGGAGGACCGAAAGAAAGAAACGAATCAAAACCCTCCACAGGAACGACCGGCAACGCGGCGGCGTCGGTCGGAGGCGGTTGAGAGGGCGAGAGGACCTGCGTTCGATTCCCTGTCAAAGCCACACATTGGGCAAGTTTCCTTACTCCGCACGCACACGCACAGACACACGCGCCCACGCACGCACACGCCTCGGTTAACCCAGCAGCGAGTTGGGACCCGGTTGTTAGTCGATCGGCGGATCGCTTTTCCGTTCCGGGGGTAATAACCCTTCCCACCCCGAAAAAAAAACCGGTCACTCCGTCCGCGACCGCCGCGCGCGATCGGCCGCCGCGTTTCGCCCGCGATAAACACGCGCGGTTCGATTCAGTTTAACGGCGTCGCCCCGTGAAGCGCTTTGGGACGCCTCGAAGACGCGGTCAGGCGCCCGGGTCAAACGAAAGGGGTTATGATCATTATTATTTCGGAAATTAAGCTTCAAGATACATTCTGGTGCCTCTCCGCTCCTTCCCCCCCCCTTCGTGTGAGAGGCCGATATACGTCTGGGTATTTGCTCAGGGTTTAGCGATCGAGAGACAGGACACACTGACAAGTGGATGACGGAATAAATCTCTGATTAAACATTTATACTTGGGTTCTAAGCAGAAGCAAATGCCCCAGTTTTGTACGCGATTATTTATAAGCTGCACTGATAAAAAAGCAGTCGACTAAGTTTAACGTTAAATATTAAAGGCAGCCACAAAGGTTTCCCTTTGTACATCACAACAGAGTTTTCTCTCTCTCTCTCTCTCTCTCTCTCTCGCTCTCTCTCGGGGGGTGGTGGGGGGGGGTGGGGGGGATCCGAGGCACCCTTCACAAAATATTCGGGGCCAACCAGTGCCAAGTGTATCAGGGGTTGAGTGTGCCGGTCTCGTGCCCGTCGGTAAGTGTGGCTTACAACACGCGCATCAGTTTCCACTCGGCACCTTTCAGCAGCCAAGTGAGCTCAGGGCTTAATCCTATCCGTCCGGCTGGACCGCAGCCAGCGAACAGCCCCGGAGGTCAAGGGCACCGTCCCATTCACCGCAGCCCGTCTCGGAGTCCATCGATTGCCTTCTTGGCCCGTTGGACGCGGCGAGACACACGAAATACACAGTACGCGCCACTCCGCAGTGCATCCCGCGAAGCGCTTTGAGACGTCCCGAAGGCGCGATAAGCCGCCGTGTCGAATGCCAGGGTTATTATTATTATTATTATTATTATTATTATTGCTCTTATCTGGGGATGCGGTACACAGTTTGGGACACGACATGTGCACGTGACCGCCAGGAGGGTGGGAGGGGAACGGAGTGGACCTTGGTTTGCTTTCCCCGAGCGATTCTTATGTTCTAAACTGGGAACTGCTGGAGGAGACTGTAACGAGGTCAAGGATATACAGCACTGACTTTGAAGGTTGTACGAAACCCCAGAGGCTCTGCTTGAAGGACCCACAAAAGGGCAGAAGCCCGAGGGAAATTTCCCTACTCCAGCACACGCGCACACGCGCGCGCACACGCACAAGCACACAAGCACACACGCGCGCACGCACACGCCTCTGTTGACTCAGCAGCCATTAGGAACCCGGTTGTCAATCGATCGCTCTTCCGGAGGTAATGATCCCTTCAAAAAATCCACGACTGTTTCGCGGGGGGAAGGGGAGGGGGGGGGAACGCTGCCGCGTTTCGCCCACGAAATACACCGTCGCGACACTCGACAGTAGATTCTGCGGAGCGCTTTGAGACGCCGCGAAGAGGTGATGAGGCGCCGCGTCAGACGCAACGGTAATTATTACTATTACTATTCGTAATAACTTTCGCGCACAATGCAACGTAATGAAGCCTAAGGGCCTAAACGACTTGATACGCGGTCTCTCCTTCCAACAGCGATGACCCGTGAGGCGAGTTGGAGACCGTCTTGACATTCGTAGCGCGTGATCCGAAACACGTGAGGATTATCATCGTTAATATTAATACCCCGGTTATCAAAATGATTCGAGCGCAAAAGCCCGACACTGAGAGCAGACCTCGCGAGAGAGTCTCTCTCTCTCTTTTTTTATGGCAAAGCTCAACAGAGTCAGGAGAAAGCGGAGGGCAGAGGAATGGAACCCGGGTCCTCTCGCTTTGCGAGGGGAGTGCATCTAACAGCACTCCACGGGTAAAGAGGGCGCGCGCTGCGGCCCGCGGCGTGACTCACCGGCCCTCTGCGCCTGCATTATCTTCACGTACACACCATCCGCAGAATCGATCAGCGTCTTACTCGCCTGCACCATCTGCGAAGGAAGACGAAGGACAAGAAAGAAATCCACGGACGACAAGACAAGACGAACCTCCTCAACTGTAGTGACTGGATTTTATTTCCACCCGTCTCGCACCCCTCCCCCCCACCCCCCGCCCGCCCCCCAGAATCCTGGCTAACACACAGTCACCACACACGATCCTGCAAAGCCCTTTTCAGGTGACGCGCGATAAGACGCCGCCAGTCGAACGCTAAAGGATTGCTGTCGGAACGGCGCTGATAACCTTTGCATTTGACGGAGCGCCTCATCGCGTCTTCGAGACGTCTCAAGAGCGCTTCACAGGAATATATACACATATATATATACGCTGTCAGGCGATTTTGACCGTATATTCTGTGGGCGCAAGTCTCACGGACGTCACTCCGCGGCACTTTACACTGTTTTTTTTGAGTTCCGAGGTTAATTGCCCCACCGGGGGTGGGGGGGTGGGGTATATTTACCGAACGTAACGTACCGTCTCGTACGCGGCCAAAACCTTCTTGAGGAGCTCGGGGACCGGTCCTTGGGCTTCCATGGAGGGGTACTCCTCGCTGAGGTCCACCGTCACCGACACGCCGTTGTCGCTGCCGTTCAGCAGCCAGGAGGACAGGGTCAGCACACACTGCTTCATGTTAGCCACAGGCGTCAGCCCGCACAGCTCCTTAAACGAAACCATGGCGTTCTGCGCGGAGCAGAGAGACGCGCGGCGTTAATCGAACGCTCCCCCGTAAAGCCCCTCCCCCACCCCCAACCCCCCGCAACCTCCGAGCCGCCCGTGGGCAGCAGCAGCTTCGCCCACAAACCGCGCGGCCGCTCCACTTGATCCCCGCGGAGCGCTTTGAGACGTCGCGATGACCTGATCCCGATCCTCTCGCCCCACAAAGCCCTCCGCGGCCTCGCCTCGCCCCACCCCACTTCCGCGAGGCCCCCTAACCCCCTCCCCCCCCCCCCCAACCCACCCGCTCGCTCCCTCCGCTCGGTCGGCTCCCGACCTACTCCGCGTCCCCCACCACACCCCCCCCCCCCCGAACCGACCCACCGGCCCCACCATTGGCGGGAGAGCCTTCAGCCACTCTGCCCCCAACCTCTGGAATTCCATCCCCCAATCACTCCGCCTCACCCCCTCCTTAGCCTCCTTCAAGTCCCGCCTCAAGACCCTCCTCTTCGACCTTGCCACCCCCCCTTCCCCTCCCCTCTCTTACCCCCCCTGACCCCAGACCCACGCGTCAACGAGAGCCACACAGATATATGTTGTTGTTGTTGAGGCAGCTGCTATTTGCTGCTATATGACGCTAACCTGGACGTTTTCCCGGAGGTCGGTGGCTTCCCTCAGGGGCTGAGCGGCGGCTCTACACGCCTCGTCGACGGCCTTGACGCCCACGGTCTTGGTGGCGGTGTACTCCCTGGCCCTCCTGCCCTTGCGCACGGAGAGGCCCCTCTTGTGGGGCTTGCCCCCTCCCCGGCGGTCGGTGATGGCCACGTGGACGAAGAGGGTGGCATGAGGCAGGACCTCCCCGCCCAGGGCCTGCAGGGGCAGGTGCCGGTAGCCGGGCTGCAGGCACTCGAAGGGCACGGTGTACTGACCGATGAACTCGTCCCCGATGTAATCGTCGTCCAGCACCATGAATCGCAGCACGGCAAGCTCGGGCAGGTTGATCTGGAACTCGAAGCTCTCGTCGAACACGGGACAGTCGCCGTTCTGCCCGTCCGTCCTGGTCCGCTGCTCGGCGCAGTCCGAGGGGATGCCGTGGATCTCCAGGCACACGTAAGGCTCCACCACGTCGCCCTTGGCGGCCGAGCCCTTGGGCTTCGGCAGGTGCTGCCCGCTGATCACCTTGATGTGCAGAAGCTGGGCCGAGACGCCCGGCAGCGAGTCCTTGGCGTTGGCGCTGAAGTAGGACACCTCGGCCCTCATGATGGCCGGCCGCAGGACGTAGCCGCAGTTTCCGTTCTGCTGGAACCACCCGGCGTTGAGGTCCATCATCAGCCCAGGGGTCTCCTGGTTCATGGACACCATCTGGCACCCACACTTCCAATAGTCCTGGGGGTTCACGTTGCTGGCGTCTATCCTCATGGGGCTGGGGTACACCCTGGACAGGAACCTCTTGTTGTAGTTGACCAGGTCCTCGGGCAACTCGTTGGCGAACTTGCTGGCCAGCACCTCGTCAAACGAGCAGGTCTCCCAGTATTTCTGGCCGCGTTTCGAAGCCTCGAAGCCCCGGAACCGTGTCGAGTGGCACAGGCTGACCAGGTCGGAGAGCTCCCTGCGCAGACGCAGCTTCCGGTCGGGCGTCTCTCCCGACTCGCCCTCCCTCTCCCCCTCCCCCATCATCGTCCTCATCCTCCGGCACATCTCCGCGCCTTCCTCTTCGTCCGAGATTTCGGCCTCGGAGTCGGGGCAGTCCCCAGGAAGCTTGAGAGCTTTCAGGAGAATCTTGCCCTTCAGCTTGTCCGGCGACGGGAGGTAATTCTCGTCCGGGGCTGGGGGCTCGGTGTGAAGTCTACCCCCCAGGATTTTTTTGAGGTGCTGAGCCATGACCCTCTGCTGTTTGGCCGAGCAGTGGGTGACCAGGCAGAGAATGAGCGGGTAATCGGAAGCCACGAAGGCGTGCTGGTTGATGGCTTCGATGACGCTTCCGAAGGCCAACTGTCCCACGGTGGAACGGCCCATGTATATCACGGGCTCGTTGCCCGGTCCGTCCCAGACCACCAGCTCCAAGCTTCGGCAGCCCGACCTCAGGGCGCGCACGTAACCACTGATATCCGAGGACCCCCAGAAGTGGTCTTCCGAGAGGCAGGCGTTGTGGGAGGCGTTGATGAAGTAGTGGGACAGAGGCTGGGACATGTCCTGACACACGCTCCTGTGCTGGGGGTCGAAGACGTGGCAGTCGGGGGAGAGGAGGTAGTTGGTGAAGCCGTCGATACAGAGGAAGCCCCTCTCCCGACCTTCCTCCGAGAGCTCGTACTTGCGGATGATGTCCAGGCAGGTCTCCTCCAGGACGCCCTCCAAGCCTTGCTCCGTCTCCACGAACAGCACCAGGTCCTTGCAGTCCAAGTACTCCTTGTTGCTGGAGAACTGCACCAGCAGGAAGTAGATCTCGGGCCGAGTGCACAGCTCGCAGTAGGCTTCCGTGAAGGCCGCCAGGCTGACCTCGCTGCCTGGTTTGTCCATGGCCTTCAGGAGCTCCTTGAACTTGAGCTCGATCTTGGTGGCCTTGGTCCCTCCGCTCAGGCTCTGGACCAGCTGCACCGCCCGGGCCAGAGGGAGCCCGTCTGCCCCTCGCCCACCGCTTGCCGAAACACCGTCTCCAGCCACGAGGTGCGGAGGCTGGTCTGCTCTGCTCGGTCCATCATCTGGTCCAGAGTGTGCTTGCCGTAGGACACCAGGTACCTCAGCCCCATCACCCAGGTGTTGACCGTGTCGGCCGAGCCAGCCACCAGGTCCAACGACTCATAGTTCTCCCCGTAGATAACGGAGAAGGCGCACTCCTCCGCAAACTGCTCGGAGATCCCGTTGCTGCGGAGGACGGGAGTCTTCTTGCCCAGGCGCACCTCCTTGATGGACTTGATGTCGATCTTGGCCTTGTCGGAGTCTTTCTTGGACGGTTCCCAGCGCAGGGCCCTGAGGTCGGAGTCCAGGAGGAAGTAGCGGTTGTAGACCCGGGAGTTAGACCGGACCTTCTTCATGGCGCAGCCCTCCAGCATGACGGAGATGCAGGCTGCCGTGCTGCTGATCTTCCGGTCGCTGGGCATGCTGCTGAAGGACACCGTCTTCTTCCGCTGCCGACGTTGGCGGGCGCCGTCCTGGCGGGAGGAATCGAGGAGAGGGGGAAAGTGAGCGTCTGCGCCAAACGTCGGCAAAAACTTTGCCTACAAATTGAGCGACCCTATTATTATTATTATTATTATTATTATTATTATACCAATGCCAAGGTAGACAGAAAGAGAGAGAGGGGGAGCGCGACGGAAGGGTTACGGAGGGTAGAGAAAGAGAGAGAGAGAGAGAGAGAGAGAGGGGGGGGGGAGTTCCAGAGGTTGGGGAGAGGAACTGACGTCGGCATTGCTGGTAACAATGTGCCATTGTAAGCCCACCATCTGTTTTCCTGTCCAACCTCCCGGTCTTCCTCTATCTTTAAGAACAGAATCCGTGCCTGTGCGAGATGACTTCCTGGCAAAGCCATCTGTAGCCCTTTCCTACCCCCCCCCCACCCCCCACCCCCCACCCCCCAACACAGCCTCCTTTAGATGGAGCTAAAGATAAGCTTACCTCCAGGTTACTTGAGGTGAGATGTCAAGCTCACATCCTATTACCCGGGAGGACGGCGGGATTATGTTTGTATTTAGAGGTATTTATTTAGGGTTCACCGTAATCAAGGACTTCAGGTAACAATCAGCCCGGAAAGTCACATCGGGGTCTGAGAGAATAATCCTGAAGACCTACCCTGGGATTTGAGATGGCCACTCCAGCATTGGAACGTCTCAAAAAGGGTGGGAGCCCAAACGGGAGGGCAGATGGGGTAGGAGAGGGGAGACGAAGGGCGGGGGGGGGAGAGGAGGGGCGGGGAGGGGAGAGCAGGGGTGGGGGGGAGAGGAGGGGAGGGGAGAGGAGGGGTGGGGAGGGGTGGGGAGGGGAGAGGAGGGGCAGGGAGGGGAGAGGAGGGGCGGGGAGGGGAGAGGAGGGGCGGGGAGGGGAGAGGAGGGGAGAGCAGGGGTGGGGAGGAGAGAGGCATCTGTTACTTTGCCAGAGATACCATCTGCTGTTCCCCGTCAACCGGTTCAAGTGGCCATCAAAAATCCCGGGACGCTTTTCGAAGGCAGATGCTTCTCTCTCTCTCTCTCTCTCTCCCTCTCTCCCACTGTCCTGGCTGACAACCTCCCCCAAATCAAACCGGTCGCTCAATCCACCACGGCTGTTTGCCCGACGCCGCCGGGCGCGATCCCGCAGCCGTGTTCGCCGACAAACACACAGTGTCTCCGCTTGGCAGCAAATATCCTGCGAGGCGCTTCGAGACGTCCTTCCGAGGTGATCAGACGCTCCATCAAATGCAAGGATCATCATTATTATTATTATTATTATTATTATTATTGATTGATTATTATGAACGGAAGGCATCTCCAACAATCCTGTAGCTCAGTGGTTAGAGCACTCGCTTTGCAAGTGAGAGACGTGGGTTCAATTCCAGGCAGAGGGCGAAACCTCGGGCAAGTTTCCTTACTCCACACAGAGCCTAATAATAATCCCTCCAAAACCAAAAACAATAATAAATTGGTCATTTTCAATCTACGACACTTTGTGGGACATTGCTGTGCACAATTGGCTGCCGCGTTCGCCCACAAATATACAGTCAATTCACTTTACAGTGTGTTCTGTGAAGCGCTTTGGGACGTCCTCCCGACGTGAAAAGCGCTATATCAAATGCAAGGATTATTATTATTATTATTATTATTATTATTATTATTATTATTATTATTATTATTAATCCAGCGTTTCTGGCCCCATCCACTCAACCCACACTGCGTTAGAACGTCAGTCTGGATCAGGAAAAAAAACAGTCCGGTCGGGATGAGAGTACGGGCATCTTTTTTGACGACGTTCAGCCCCTCACGAACAAAATTAAAAATAGAATCCTTTTGCCACTGAACGCGAGCCGAGGGGACGCTCCACAGCAACGCCTCCCGCAGCGGTCAAGAGAACACTGCCGGGAGGAGGGAATTAAAAACTCGCGCGTCCGCCTTTATATAAATAGATGTGCAACGGTAGCATTGAAAAGCGTGACTCCAGCAGATTTGTTCGAGGTGCGCTTCGGGTTCGGGTGCCCCAGATCTGAGCGCGGTTGAGAGTCCTGCAGCTCGCGGCGGTTAAGAGCGCTCGTTTCGCCAGCGAGAGGGGCGAAACACCGGGCAAGTTCCCTTACTCCACGCCCACGCCTCCGCGTGCCTGGCGGCAAGCCGGAACCCGGCTGTTAGTCGGTCGACTGGCGAATTTGGTGGCGATCCCCTTAAAAAAAAAAAAATTGGCTAATTCAATCCCCGGCTGTTTGCGGGGGGGACGCTGCCGCGTTTCACCAACGAGGTATACAATCAATGACCACTTTGCAGTGTACATCAAATGCTCGGATTGTTGTTGATTATCGTTGTCCCCTCTCAGCTCAGGGTTAACGCTGCAAACCAAAGCCCTAACGGTTGGTGCGGTCCCAGCCGGACAAGCAACGGGGAGCGTCCCAGACAGTGACAAGCGATGTCCTTGGCTATCGCTAGCCTAACAACAACGACAACAACAACAAATCTTGTCACGCAGCACCTGCCTTTCACGTCGGGAGGACGTCCCAAGGCTCTGTACCTGAGCTGAGGGTTGGAATCAGGAGGGGGTGGAGGGCAGGGAGGGTGGTAGGGGTAAGGAGGGTGACCCGAAGCACAGCCGAAGAGGAGGGTCTTGAGGCGGACCTTGAAGGAGGCAATTAGGGGAGGGGGTGGGGTGGTGTGAGAGGCGGAGGGACTGTGGGATGGAGTTCCAAAGGGTGGGGTGGGGGGTGGCCGAGGGGCTGAAGAGATGAGGAAGGGGCCGACGGGGGGGGGGAGGGAAGAGAGTTTGGGAGCAGAACAAAGGAGAAACGAAGACTGGAAGAAAAAATACAGAAAGTAGGCCAACTCCGGCAAAATAGGGACTTGGGTCAGGTTCACTGCTACCAATCTGCTGGTGGAAGCCGAGGTTAGTGGAGGCAAACAGCCACACCCTCACCTAAGACAGCCTCGCCCGCCAACAACAACCACGGGCACACTGATCGCTCACTCCGCGCCATCTTGCGAGACCTTCGACCCACACGCAGAACCACACGGCAAGAGGTAGGGCCGGGTCACCAACTCCCTCCGTTTCATCTGACCCCACCCGCTCCCTCCCTCCCTCCAATAACTCGCACCATGTTGTGATGGCATCTTCCCCGAAGGGAAACCCCCAAAACTATCGCTAATGGCCCCCGCCCCCCCAACCACCCGCGCGCCCACCACCGCACAGGGCATCCGGCCCTCGACAGCCTAAAGGTTGGACCCACCCCCTCCGTTGCAGCAATGATAAGACAGCGATTGACAGAGAGAGAGGAAACTCCACCTCAGTCAGTGACTGCACAGAGACCTTGACTCATCACGTCACACACACGCACACAGCATACAGCACACACACACACACACACACGCACGCACGTACGCACGCACGCACACGCACACACTCTTCCTGAACAAGGGTATTTGTAGCAACATGTCGTCAGAGAACAGAAATATTTCAGCCGATGCTTCAGGATATCGAGAGGAGGTGAAAGGGAAAAACAACAGATCTTCACGCCCGGCTCAGTCTCTCGCCCTCTCGCCTCCGCCTCAGGAGGACGTGGGTTCAAGCCCCGTGTGTGGACTTTGAGATCACTAGGACTGGGCTGAGACACAACGAGGGTGGGGTGGGGGCGGGGGCAAGGGGTGGGGTGGGGGGGCAAGGGGTGGGGTGGGGAGGTGGGGGGGAGCCTGTATTGTTGGAGGCACTGTCCTTGGGATGAGCCATTAAACTGAAGTCTCCGTCTGTGCCCTGTTCAGGTGGACTTTAAGGAGGGTAGGAGTGGGTGGGGGGGGGTAGGAGGGTGACCAAAGTCACGGTAGAAGAGGAAAGTCTTGAGACGGGTCTTGGAGGAGGAGGCGAGGGAGGGAGGGACGGACGGACGGAGGGAGGGAGGGAGGGAGGGAGGGACTGAGGGAGGGAGGGAGGGAGGGAGGGAGGGGAGATAGGACGTGGAGATAGACGCGAAAGCGACCGTAAGGCAAAGAGACCAACAAACTAAACCGGGAGAGAAACACTGAGCTCAGATTTGGCTCCGTGTCTCCGCAGGTTAACCCAACGCTCCAGTGTGAGGTTGGCGGGTGGGGGGGTGGGGGTTGGGAGACCCGTCTCGAGACCTTCCTCCTCCTTTTTCGACCGTAACTTCGGCCGCCCTCCTAAACTCTACCCCCCCCCCCCACCCCCATCCCCCCCTTTCCGATCCCAACCACCAAGTGGCCCGGATGCGCACAGCAACGCCCCCACGAGAAAATCGGGGATGGAGTGACCAATTTATCGCGTCGTTGTGCTTTTTTTGGAAGGGATTATCACCCTTCTTATTGCCGAGGCACGTCGAGGCTTATGAATTAGTTATGGCTAAGAATTCTCCATCCCCCCCCTTTTCCCCCCCTTACCCATCACCCCCCACCCCCCCACCACCACTCCAGGCCCTCCCCCCAATTTCTTGAGCTCAGTGCAAGTGGGGTTATTGCCGCGCAGTAGTACATGGTCACACACGGGAGCGATCGGCCGGCCATTCGCCCCCCCGTCTCCCCCCCCCCCCCCCCCTCCTCCCTGGCCACATCTGGCCCAAGAGAACACGAGCTGCAAATCCCAAATCAACTGGAAACAGAGCATCGCTGTTCCCAACCGCGCTCACACCCACTGGACACTCTCCCCACCACCACCTCCTCCCCCCACCCCCACACCACACACACACACACACACATGGTCCCCTTCGCCCCCCCCCCCCACCACCTACACACCCACCCACCCACACACATCATCCCTTCCCACCCACCCACACACACACAATCTGCCTATATTGTCACATCAAAGATATTTTGTCGTTACTCTCTCTCTCGTCATCGCGGGCATTAAAGCTTGTGACCTGCGATGTGTTATTAACACCCGTGTTGACTATCACCGAGAAATATATCGTAGAAACCGCAGCGCAGGAAGCTTCTGCTGGTGCTACCTCCTCCGTTGGAGTGATCTACTCGAATCC